CAAATTTATGCGAGGTTTAATTTCGCTCGGCGTTGATACGCGTTACCGTCTAATTTACATATATTTCAGATATGCCAAGAGGGTTGCGTTATTATGTGTTCTAAAATTGGGCGGACATGAAATGCTAAACATTCCCTGTAATTTTGTTATCTGTTTGTGGCAGCGGGGAAGGATTAAGTTTGAGAATTAGAATGGCTTGTTTATTAAAATATAGAAGCGAAGTGTGGATTGAGATGCAATAAGTATTAAAGTTTGATTAATATTTTAACGCTGAAAATTTATTTGTTAAATCAATAATTGTAATAAACTGTATTGTCAACAATGACATATAATAGTTACATGTAATGAATTCAAAGTTATTCTCATCTGAATTAGATAGCAGAACATATCCGTAGGGAGGATGATAAGAAAAAATTACGTGCACAAGTGGCAAAACAACTTAAATTTTGGAAAGTCCGCAATTTTCCAGGTCGCTAGTTGCATAGGAGAGCATATAGTATAAGAAAGGTTCTTAAAGCAGTCTATGTTGGAGACTTACATATATTCATTACTCAACGGCTAAAATTGTCAGTATAATTTTTTTTTGTATATGATAATAAAATGGTGCACCCGCCTGCGCTAACGGTTTACGCTGACGGGGTATCAGTGGAAGATGATAAGATGAGAATGAGGTCAGGTCAGTTACCCCATCGTGATATATTCATCTGGAATTTATCACGATGGTTTCCGCGTGGAGGTCAACCTGACATGGTACATTGTTAGCAATGGGGTCGAGAGTCCACATTACTAACAATCCCTTCCCCCTGTCAGTATAATTGCCTAGAATAGTTTGTGATAGCTACAGAAGTCAAAACAAGACGTGTTCTTCCGCTTAAAGTGCTAATTACGAAAAAATGGGATAATTAATGTTCATGCTTTGACACGTCTATGGAATAATAACACAGGAGAGAGACGAGTGGCATTTTAAATATTTGAGAGCGATCCACGGTCTCTCTGCGCGCCACGCCCGGCCGCCCCGCCTGCCTCTACTAAAAGTAAAGTTAATTATCTTAAAATGACTATGATCAGGAATTCCTAATTAGGACATGTAAAATGTTTTCATATGATGAGATATGTTTTGATTAATTGAAATTAAGCACTTGGGCGTGTTTATTGGCTATATGAAGATTGAGGTTTCTTTGTGCTACACGCAGATGCAAAAGAGCTGGTGGCCTTTTTAAGGAAAAGTAATATAAACACAGGTAGTACAGATAGCCCTCGTTGTCGAGGCTCTTTTAAGACCAAAGAACACCCGCTCAAGTAATCTTTGTGTGCAGACGTGCCTTTTTTAACTTTTCTAGTGCTATTAGCCGTAGCTGGCCTTTAAGCCTTCTCTAAACCAAAATGAGATTGAGTGCCCAAGATACTCCAAACTCGCGGAAAAACTTATGAAGACAGTGGCCAATTTGAATGGAACAGGGAATCGATCAGGGTAGCTGTACCTCTGTGCTTCCCAATATATAGAAATGCGTAAATTTTAAGAACATTGAGTTGCTCCGAGAAGCCTGCGAATACACCAGAAATCTTTTGCGCTTTACAATGGCCCAAATCTAAGTCCGTAAAATCCTTTTTCCGGCCCATTTTGTTATCCCATCAGTGGAATAGAAAAAGTTACTTAGTGTCTAGCTGAAATGATAGTAACAGAGGCACCCCATGACGACTTGGTGTTTGTGCAAAGTTTACCTCTGGTATTAATACTGTAAAATATTATTATTAAACCACATTTTTTAAATGCGTTTTATAATTTGTACGGACAAGGAAATAAAAAAAGTTTTATTATTCTGCCTTTTATACAGGAGCAGGCAAACGCAGCTGTTTGGCGACTAGGCTCTTGTATTTCAGATTGGATGTTAAGGCATTCAATCTACACAAAGAGAGGTTTGATGTTTATTTTTTAATCGGCGGGATTTACTCCGGCCTTGGTCTATAATAATTTAGTAATGAATGAATTAAAATTTCTTTTTGGAATGAATCTTAAATCTCTGTTGAAGAAAGTGAGTTTATATTTTCACTTATTATAATTATAAATATAGGTACTATTTATACAATAATTATAGCAATGACAAAAGTACATTACTAAATAGCATATTATTCGAAAAATTAACCCGAGACTTCGTCTGAAAAAAATCACTCCTATTACATCTCGTTACAGATCAACCCCCTACAGTCATTTTTTTAAACAAAAGATACCCTACACGTAACATTTTTTTTATGTCGTAGATGCTATACTGTCTGTACTTTTACCTTTTTATTTTTTTCGGAACATTTGGTACGTCTCGTACTTTACCAGATTTTTTATTCAAAGCGGCTACTCGATTGAATGGACACGAGGGAAGTCGCCAAAATTAATACGTCAATTTGAATCAATTCACGATCAAATCCCGTTTTCAGGGCGAGGGGATACATTTTATATGATGGAGCATTACATCAGGATTTGTTACAACTGGTTTTTTATATAAAACTAGCAATATGCCCCGGTTTTGCACGACTATTGTATGTACACTTAATTAAAAATAAATACCTACATTGAATATGTAACTCGCTTAACATGTAGCATTTTATAAACAAAAATGTTCTTTTGTTAGGTTTTTTTTTTTGCAAAATTGTAAATAAATTTTGTCTTTTTTGCAGGGCTCTCCAAAAAAAGAGGATAATATCCTACTCTTTGGCCACACCACGGTGGCCAAGCGTCTTGGTATACAGTTTTATTTCGTGTTTCAATTTTTTAATATCTAAACTTTGTTTTAATAGTGCACTATCAGTACTTGTGATGTAATTAATTTAGTCCCTGCGAAAGTACATTTATTATTCATATAACTAATACTATAACTATGAAAGTATATCTGTTAATCTGTTTATTATGTTAACGGCTGAACGGATCTTAATGAAATTTAATGTTAAGATACATTGACAAACATTGGCTATCTTATATTTAAAAAAAAAGCAGACAAAATCACCAGTGACAATTAGTATGTATATATTTATTGTTGTTGCTTGGATTCATTATAAATATTAAAAAAAAAACTTCAAAATTGATCTGGCATTCCATTCCACATTTAAATTAAAATTCATTTCTAGATTATGACAGCTAACAAAAAGGTATTAATACATCGAACCTATGAGATATCAATTTTCGCCTTTCTCAGTGGGAGATTACAGTTTAATTTTCCGTTCCAGTAGCTAGTTTTTTTTTCTTTTGTCACGAAACTCTGGCGTTGATTAATGCGGGTCCTATATTCGATTTGGGGGTTGTTTGAGCCGTAAACTCGATTATTCCTGTTTCGAATGAGTGAATTTTAAAATAAGTTATTGATCTTTACAAAGAGGGACCAATCACGGGTTCTATGGACGAATGGAACTCACATTTTTTTATAATAGTAAAACATAAAATGATGCAATTTAACAACCTCGGTGGTCTAGCGGTTTAGGACACCGCGCCACTTTACTTCTGACGGTCGCGAGTTCGATTCCTCGCACGGTACAAACATTTGTGTTTATGGGTGTGATTATTTATATTGATCTGGGTTTATCTATTGTGTAATATGTATGTATTTACAAAAAAAAATATGTAAGTACATATTTATATCATTATCTCTACTTTCCTTAAGACTAGATATTATAGTAGCTTTATTTCTTCCTAGTGATATAATCTCTCTTTGTATAAGATTTTATTCCGGCGGATTCCTTCCGCCGTTTCATTGTGTCAAGGTTATATAAACAAACAGACAGTTAAACACACAGTCGCATTTATAATATTTGTTTGATTAATAAATGTATACATATTATATTTAGGTATGTCTGAAGCTAATTATTTGTACTGTGATATACCAACAGATCGAACGAATGTATAGACAAAGCTCATCATAGAACATTCCGTTCCTCTTTATATTATATACATTGTTGGTTTAGAACACAAAGAAGACTCTATAGTTATTTTCCCTGTGTACTTGCATCTTTCCGCTTTCGCATTGTTATCAAATATTCTTCTGATATTTTCTTTCTTTCCGTACCGTAATACACCGTCTATATAATATTATAAAACCGATTTAGGGTACTTTGTCGCGATCGCTCGTTCCTTTTCAAGTGATCGGCTTATTGTCTGCATCTTACACAATAAAACTCCCATCGTTCCCCCTTCATTTTAATTTTCCGGCCGTCATGTACAATCATATTTCTACACGTGCTTGCGAACTGAAATCCTGGCACGTGTTTACGACTTACGTGTGCAATTGTGATAGATTTTAACAAGAACAATAATCATGGTATAAAATCATATAAAATCATCTTATTAATAATATTATAAACGCGAAAGTTTGGTAGTATGGATGGATGTTTGTTATTCTTTCACACTAAAACTATTGAACGGGTTTGATGGAACTTTACAGTATATAGTATATATAGTTTATACATCAGAATAACATATAGACTATAAATTTCACGCGGGTAAAACCCCAGGCACAGCTAATATAATATACAGCTACTCATACGCTGCTGGAGTCGAGTTACAATTCGAGTTACAAGGCGCTTGTGGCCCGGGTCCTAACCAACATGCTGCTTACCTTCATGAAGGAGGACTACCGACCGAAAGGGATGGTGTATCGGCGTTACCGTGGTACATTGCCGTCATCAGTGCGAGCCGATTTATATTTTATTATTATTACATATGAATGTTAGTGTATAAGGTCTATATGTGTAATATGGGCCATTAGTAGCTTGAAATTAATAAAATATAAAACCACATTGAGTGTACAGAAACTCATGTAGCGTCGCATTAGGAATACAATGTGTCATTTTTTTATTCCCAAAGGGAACAGAGTACAAGTAATTTTTTTTATGTAACTGGAAATGTGTGGTGTGATTTGTCTTGGATTATTATTATTATATACACAAAATACATTTATATATTTAATAGTAATTAATATGTGTATAAATAGGCCACAATGTAAAGATGAGATACTCACGTCTAACTCTGACCGTGGGTCGTTTGAAGGCAGTTCGTAGGTACGGCATAGACATAACAAGCTCGATGTGAGGCGGTGGGGGAAGCTGCAACAAAAACGATGTATACACTCTTTTTATTTTCAATAGTTCATGGTGACCCAAGTTATTTCGTCGGCGGCGGAATTCTGTAACACAGGTTTTCCTAGCCCAGATTCCGTTCTATTCTCTTATATTGTTATATGATACAGGATGTTTGTTAAAACAATTTTGTGAATATTTGTAATAGAATGGAATAAATAAATTTTATTATTATTTTTTTTTCCAAAAATTCTCATCTCCCCTCTTAAGGAGAGGAGATGGTAACATACCCCCGGCAGAAGCACAGTCGGCCGGGGGTAATTATTATTATTATTATCATTTAATACTATTTATATAAACTACTTTTACATAAGATACACATAAGAAGATAATTTTACAATGTAGCTCCATTGAACCATATGTTGTGTCAACAATAAGGACGCTTTCAGCAATAAGGCCGCCTCATTGTAACGATACATGTGTCCTTTAATATATTGTTTATGCCTTTTCTTTACTGTATGTTACAAATAAAGTATATTATATCTATCTATTTTTCATACATATGTATTCATTCTACATATCGGTATATACATATGTATATAGCGATATGTAGAATGTTTAAAGTATTAATATCTAGTATTATACATATTACGTAATTGAAAAATAGTTATGGAATGGAAATAATATTCTTTTAAGTCGGTATTAGTTCGTATTACCACAAATAAGATAATATTACATAGTATTAAGTACCAAGTAATATATAACTTTGATACTAATTTATGTACGAGAATAGTATAATTAAATAGCATTAATTATATATTGAAATAAGTCAAACACAATCTGAGTAAGACATCTTCCATATGACAAAAATATATATAGATGCTAAAACAACAATAAAAAAGGACTTCAATTTGTTTCAATTTATAGCCGAAATAATTGAAAGTTAGGTAAAATCAATAAATCATTCACTCACCGTTTTTGATATTGCTTGCATCCATTCCCTTAGCAGCAAAAAATATAGAATTTACAGATAATTAGAAAAAATATATAAGTATAATGATTTCACTCATCAAATTGCCTGAATTATACGCGCACTGTTATATTTTTGTGACTGAATCTAATTAATATTAGACGTAGGGAAGTAATAATTAAAATATTTAATTGTTAAAAGAATGGAATTTACAAATAAGGACAAGTGCATGCCTCTGTCTCACCAATTTCACTCAAAATATGTTTTTTTTAATGGATAGTAAAGGTATGGTGCACCATATCTAATAAAAAAACACTTGTGCGCCTGCATTTACTTATTTTCTTAGGATGATACGACGAGGTCAGGTCAGTTAGACCATGGAGGCAAATTCACCATAAAACTATCACGATGGTCCCAGGAGGTGCCTCATGGAAGTCAACCTTAGTACATTAGTAGCAATGGGGTTATTAGTACCCGTTACTAACAATCCCCTTCCGCCTTGTGAGATATGTTTTGATTGAAGAATAAGTTAACCTCTCATTTGCGTAGGGGTCAATTATTGAACTCGGACACTGTAGCCCCACTTGTGAGAAATCCTGTAATTGATCTCACAGATGGGGCTTTAATGTCATTTTGTAAGCTAACAGTTGAAAGAATAAGACAGTGAAATTACAGAATATAGAGGTTTATGCCGTTCATATATATAAAGGCGAGTGTTACCATATACCATACCATATGTACCGTCAGCCATTGCCGTTTTGCCGTTCCAATTACATATAAAACCATTTTCTTATCACATTAGTAAGGCGTATTTATATAATGTCCAAAATCGTATATCACATATTAGGAGATATGTCTTGTCAGAAAGAAGCTGATCGATTTGAAATCCAATTTACTATTACATACCTCCAGTCCCTATTCGATATATGTGACAGTCTATAACAAACTGCCTTTATATATAAAAGGTGATGATAAATTCAGCAAAATAATAATATCCTCAAAACAATTCACACAGCGCCATCTAGACCCAAGGTAAGGCAACCAAAACTTGTGTTATGGGTACTAGATAACTGATACAAATACATAGATATATGTTTTTTTCGTAAATATATACATAGTATAAATAAAATACACCCAGTCAATCATACTCATGGATACAAATGTTGGTGCCGTACGAAGAATCGAACCCGTGACCATCGCCAGTAAGGTAGTGTTCTAAACCGCTAGACCACAGGCCGTCAAATGGCTGAAAACATTATCCATAGAAACCTTTAGAACCAGGATAGGTTATAGGGATTTTTATGGACAAGAATTCCTTATAACCTTATCATTCCTAATTATATACTTTTTTTTAAAATTTCTATCGTTTAATATTGTAAATCTTTCTCACCTCTTGTGAGAGCACTCAAGTCGAATATTAAACAAGGTCGCGGTCAGCCCGCAAAGCGTCGCAATTTTACATTAATTAGAGAAACAAAAACAGCCATTATTCTACGAAATCCACAAAATGGCGAAAAAAAATGGTTCGTAAAAGGTTGGTAAATGCCCGATATGTCACTTGGTACTCGGGGTACGGGTCCTCCCTATGGATTAATTTTATTTCGGCCCAACGCCTTTATAGGACCCGAGTGTGCTAGGGTGTATAGCGCTGACAGAGGTAAATCTGGCCTAGCCACGTCCTTTTACATTAAAACCTCGGTGGTCTAGCGGTTTGACACACTGCCTAATTTCCGATGGTCCTAGGTTCGACTCCTCACACAATGCAACTCATAATTACGAGTATTTCTATATATATTACATGTTTATTTACAAAAATATATGTACATATTTAAGTATTTCTGTCAGTTGATTAGTGAGAAACTCACTTTACACAAGCTCTGCTTGGCCTGAGACTAGATGGCACTGTGCGAATTATCAAAAAATAACTCTATGTATAAAGGTACCATAACACTATCAAACTCTGTACAATGTTATATGTTAATTCTAGCTTGAAACATAATCAAAATGGATCGACGCACACAATTGAACTGAATCCAGTATGCAGTTCCCACACATTTCTGCTGCCAAGCAGTTTTCTCTATCTGTGTTGCAGTTCGAAGCATAAGATGTAACAGACAAGGTACGGGGACATGATACCTTAGTACCCCAGGAATGACAACTCATGACGCCACACATAATGCGCCTATATCTAATTCGTTGTTGTATTATATATACCTTCCATTTCAAGCGTTACATTATCTAGAAAGTTTCAAGCCAATTAAAAAAAATAACATAAAAATGTACTAATTGAGTTTCTTGCTCATTCAGAAAAACGGGTAAAAAAGGTTTCTAGCCGAACTAGATATTAAAAAATTACTTGCATAAGAGGCCGAAATAGCGTATTTATTTATAAATAATTTTACATAAATTATTTTTGAAGATTTGATTTGGAAAACCCACATTCACGTTAGAATTAAAATCAGACAACAGCAGGCAGCGAGCCTATCACCTTGGGATAATTTTGGTTACTTATATTTTGGAAGAGCCAGTAAGAAATATAATTTATAATCAAAGCTTCTTTTAGTATCGTCCTAATATGAACTCACGACTTTTGGGTCTAAATTGGGGTAGTACACCTGTTAAGTTCACCTTATAAACTGAGTGGAGGTCGATCTGAGCTTACTAACAAGAAAATTAACTTCCTTTTGTAATATTTAGGTATGCTTACTTCTTGTTGCGTGCCGCAACACCCACCTCTATAATGTACTTGTCCCGCCTACACTACGCCGACCAAGGGACAGGACATCGTTGTCTACATCCAGACCAAGATAAACCTAAACCTGCGGGTGACGCAGCTGGAGTCTAGTCTCAAAGCATTTGTGGTTCGCGTACAAACATGCCGTCCACCTTCATAGAGACAGACTACTGGCCAATGGGAGTTGTGTGCCGGTGCTACCGTCGCAAATTGCCATAGGGAAGGCGGTGACCACAAAGATATTATTATTATTTTATGCTTACCAATATTATAAATGTGAGAATAACTCTGTCTGTCTGTCCCGCTTTCACTGAAAAAACTACTGAACCGATTTAAATGAAATTTAGTACACAGTTAGTCTAGAATCTGAGAAAGGACATAGGCTAAAAAAGGGGAGACAAAGTGTTGTATGAAAATTCTTCGTTTTTCAAGCTAGAACAATGGAACTTGTTTGGGTTAGATTATTGAATATTTAAATTAATAATAACACGCGGACGAAGTCGAGGGCACAACTAGTTTTATATACATATATGTTAATATTTTATGTACCTATAGTATGTATAGTATGGGCCAGTATTGTTATATAAAGTTGCCTGAAATAAATAATTAAATTAAAATGTAATATTTTCATAATACAAATATTCTTGCATCATGTTATGATGTAGGTACGAGTATAACAATGACGATATTCGTGCCAAGAGAAATGAATGTGGAATTTACACTTCGTGCAACCCTCGTCTGGCCGTCGACACGGACTCTATTCTTTATCTCATTTAAATTTATGAAGATACGCCTGTCACCACTTATTTTTAATGTTTTATTGTTTCTGCTCACCTGGTATATACTTTTTTCATACTGTCTCCACACACGCACATAATGTAATTCTGACATATACATACTCGTATGTATATGAATTATATATACATTTTTTACAGATTACGTTTTAATTATTTAGAGACGCTGTGGCTTAGTGTTTTATATGTCGACATATAGTCTAGATCTAAAAGTCGAGAGTTCGAAGCTCACTAAAGAACATTGTACGTCAATCTGTATTTTATGACTAACCATTCGATGATAAAAACATCTTTACATAGTATAAAATTAAGACGTTTCCGCTGTCTGTTTGCTTAGACCTTTCAAACTACAGAACGGATTACAATGCAGTTTATAGTAATAGATAAAGTAATTCAAGAGGAAAGTATTACCCGCCAGTCAATAATAAACCTAATAAATCCGAGAAACTGCAGGCTTGCCACCGGTCACATTGGAATTAAAAACATCATCAAAGTTTAGGCATGTCAAATGTTTTGTTACTACCAGTACCTCGGATGTCACATTGTCATTTACCACTGATAAGGTACCTAAATAAAAATAAAAATAACCCCATTGTCCTGGGGTTATTTTGTGGGGTCACAATATGCAAGACAGTGGTAAGAATGGGCAGTCTTATAGCTATTTTGCGATAAGACAGGCTTTATACAAACTCTGTCTATTCTTACTAATATTATAAACGCGAAAGTTATGAGTATGGATAGATGAATGGGTGTTTGTTACTTTTTGACGCAATAACTACTGAATTTGATGAAACTTTACAGTAATGTAGCATATCCTGAGTTACTTTCAAAATTTAATTTTAATGTACCAGTTAAACGTACCAGATTTACTCCTTCTATTTCTATACCTTCTGTATCATCTAACTACAGGCAAAACAGTTATATGTGGCGAGCAAGTAATAACTTCAATAGATTAAGTAGGGTATTAGATATTGATTTGTTTTCCGATAGAATATCTTTAGCGAGGGCCGTGATGAGCAGGCAATTATTTGAGTTATAAGTATCGAATTTAATGTTACTTATATGCATTTCCATTATTCAAAAATGTTTGTTTGTTAATTTCAGCATATGTTTTAATTTAGTAGATTGTTATTTTTTTATATATGATTTTATGAGTATTTATGACACAAACACGCCTCTCGTTTTAGTACTGCAATTTATTTTATATTACGTTTCTATCCGTGAAAACCTATAAGTGGCCGTTCTCATTTAATTATGTTTATAACTATGTTCGTAAATAGCCTTGGTTTTCCGAAAAAAAAATATTAAAAAAAAAATACAGACTGTAAGTTAAAAATATAGTAATAAGTTATAGGGTAGGACGAATCACTGAGTTTAATTACCACATTATTCTCTGTTACAGCCGTCCTTGGCATAGAAATGCGATCTTATCTCATTATTTATAATAATTGGGTTAGAACGGATAAAGGGGTGAAACAGGAAACTAGGCTGTAAACGCTCACT